GCTTTGCAAGGTTAGCCACATTTTGATTAATATAAAAATGTTCGCGGGAAAATTTGCAAATGCATTTCCGGTGTGATTTGCAACGCACATGGAGATAGAGTGCAAGTAGAGGCCGTGCAGGCCATATGAATATGATGGCACATTTTCGTATATTTATACCCGATACTCAAAGTGTAAATAGGGTATATTGTATTTGTGGATATTAAACCGTGCTCCGTGCATAATGCACAGAAGGACATTTTTCCGACCCGTGATCAGCATCAATAGTCGAATCAGAGCCTCTCTGTACTTCCGGCCGTATGTCTGTCTGTCAAGTCTTGTTTGACGACTTGTTCTCTGGCGAAGGGGGTCGAGCTAAAAGGGCGTGTTGGTGTGAGAAGTGATGTACATTGATGTATATAGATGAAAGATGTAATTGTAGTTTTACATTTTTATGAACATAGTATATGTAGTACTTATGTACTGCATAAATATGTACATATATGTTGATGAGTACCGGGTATAACAGTTGATGCGCATACATATGTACATACATACATACATACGTACATATATGTATGTGCTAATGAGTTTATGATAATTAATGAATTTATATAATTTAGGTGTTTGCTTATTTCAGTGATAATTAAATAATTACTAATTAAATAGATTGGCAAATGTATTGTGATTATTATAAGCCGAACCGATCAAAAACAATTATTCAGCGTTTATAGTGTACTTATGTATGTATATATGTATATATACATATGTATAAATAAATATGTATATAAAAATGTGTTTTCCTATTTTGGATTTTTTTCCATACAGAATAGGTTTATCAGTTACAATATTGCAAAATCTTTGCGAATTGGATAAGCTCTTTGTTAAAAAATGTTTTGTACTAATGTATGTAGCTAATGTATGTAGCTACATTACTCAAAACTTTAGAAACTATTTTCCGGAAGATGTTTTAATTGACCTTCTGTTTTTTTTGCAAGGTTAATACTGATGGAATTTCGCATATATTCACAAATATATGTACATAAATACATGTACGTACATGTGCTCTGTACTTGTACATGTACATATGTATGTACATATGTATTTAGTATGGGGCAAGCCCTTGTGCACTTTTCTCGTTGACGAGCTCACCGACCTGGCAAAATATTTGTGGCAGTAAAAATTTGAATTCTAAGTAAAATTGCCGGGGATCCAACTTTTAGTCGTAGAACGTGTGGTGGCATGCCTGGCACATCTAGTGAGTTCAAAATCTGTCTTTGTTAAATTTGAACTTCATTGCAAACTGTGTCGGGCAGCAATCGTTCACATGAGAATATTAGATTTTGTCAAACAACGCAAAACGTCAAAATCAAAAAACACTAAAACTTCGATTAAAAGTTAATGGGATGTGACATAAAGAGGAAAAATACTTTGCCACCTATTCGCCATACTTTTTTTTTTTTTAGGGTTTATGTTACCCCTACCCTTGGGTAGAGGGGCATTATTTGGCCGCCCGGCTTTACAAGGTGGAAATCGCCACGTCGAAATATGTAACTTGGTACAGTTTTGCTCCAATACTTACCTTGCGTAGAGGTTATGTTCCCCACGTGTTTGAAGTGTGACCGCGTAGTAACGACTTAGTTGAATTCTTTATTCGCCATACTTAATATTATAAAATTAACTCTATACAGGCCGGTATAGCCTTTGGAAGGAGTTCAACAACAATCGTGTGGATTTGGGATGGGTTTTTAATTTGGGGGATACCTGGGCCTCGAGAGAAATGTCTTTCTAGGTCTTGGAACACAGGGAGAGGCTCAGCACATGTGTTATAATGTGCTTTTAATGAGAACCTTTTGAACTGTGTACTTAACGTTGAGATAGTATCTTTTATTGGAATTATGTATTGCGGCGGCGATTCCAGCGACCAGCGACCGCCCAAAAAAGCAGGGTGTAGAAGCAGCACAAAACTGTATCTACCCCTGAAAACGAAACTGGAAAATGCAGATTTTATTAGATATTTCGGGCAACGACAATGGCAATCATCAGCTCGTCATCATCGTCAATCATCCCCGTTTCCGGAACAAAATATTTGGCAGATAAACATCACATTAGCGTGATTCCAAGCCGATTAGCCAAGTTGAGCCGAAGCCCAGCAGAAGTTGCGCGCTCATTGGCACGTCACAGATATGCTACCTCACGCTTACGCTACAGTTCTCAAGTTTGGTCTTTAACCGGCGCAGCGCATCTACGTAGACTACGAGAATGTAACTAGTATGTAAGTATATGTATGTATGTACATGTACATGTACATATGTATGAATTGTCTACCCCGAGGGTAGAATGATAATGAGTACAAGTCCGAACAATACCGAGCAACAAAATAGCACCAGCCATATTTTCCGGAATAATTGTCTTTTGACGATATATACATATATACATATAACGAAAGTTAACACCTGTCTTTATTCACATTAACATCAAGCATACGTAGAAATAACTAAAAGAGTATAAATTTGTCTTTCATAAGTACCTTTATGTTATCTATCTTACATATGTATGTATGTATATATAAGTATTCATGTACAATTGCATAAGTTTAGTGCATGGATGTAATATAAACTACATGTACATATGTATGCTCAGACAGCTAACAAGCCAAGCCCCATAAGTTTAGAAGATAGCTGATATTAGAATTTAATGAGAGGATTCTCAGGTGTGGTGCTATCGTCGTCTATGTGCCAACGCTATTGCTATTTCTATGGCCGCGGCAATGGCTATGTGGCCAGCCGGCCGGCTATAACATAAAAGCAAATTGGAGTAGGGAGAAAGCTGAGGCCGCAGAATAAAGAAAAGCTTATTGTTCTGTGCTTGAATGGAAAATACAGTATAAAAGCGATTCAAAAGAAAATTTAACATAGCAAAGAAAATCGCAAAGGAAATACAAAAAGTAAAAAGAATGTACACAGAATGGTCCTCTCGTACACAATGAAACAAGCTGTGAATAAAGGAAGTAAGAAGAAAGAATAATACAAATTTGTATTCAACAGTCGGGGAAATTCGAAAAATGAAAGGAATTGAATGGGAAGGGAAGGGAAGGAAAGATAAAAAAGTAAATGTGTTTAGACGACTCTCGCTCACCTAAGCATTTCCATATGTACCTACATACATACATTTACAAGCATATGTAATAAATGTACATATGTACATACATATTATATGTTATACATAATGGCCAATATGTACATATGATGTACATACATACATACATATATTAGATGATAGTAAGTTTTATAGTGATTGAGTTTAAAAAATATGTGCCTGAAATAATACACAATATTGGTAAGAATTGACTTACTAATGTAATCGTAAAAAACCAATCAGTCGTAGCTACGGATCTCCAAGGAGTGAATCTCTATCTCTACATGCTATCTATGTATTTTTCGGCCTACAGAACCTTTCTTGCTCTTGAATCGAGTTTCAATACGTGACTACTTATGTACGTACCACGTCATTTTAAAAATGCTAATTTGCAATTGTCACCTGCAGGGATGTAGAGATACGTGATTGTCACATGAAAAGGCCTTGAATTTCACCGGCATATTAACTCTGTGCAGGCTTTGGCAATTCTTGCGCAACGAAAAAAATCCATTTATAATATACTTCTTTTTTTGTGACAATACAAAAGTGGTTAGGTATGTGTTCTTTTTGGGTTCTGGGAAAGAAATTCGAACGAGAAGGAACGTGTGAGACGCTTCTTACGCGTCATAACTTTAATACCTGGTACTCAGTACTACATCTGCACCTTAGCGGTTATTTGTCAAATTTTACATTTGTTCTTCATCTGTCATCTACATTAACAACACTACTCACGCTAACACGCTCCGTTAGCTCGGCGCCATTCCCTAGACGCACACACTGCAGGCTCGCGGCAGAGGCAGAGGCGGAAGCAGAGTGTGCACTGCATATTAATTTCTTCGTTCTGGCTATAATAATGGTCCAATCGGATCCCAATTTGGTGATCTGATAGATATGGTCATTCTCTACGAAATGTTTAGTTTTCTTTTATCTTCAAAGTTGTAGATTTGGGAGGCTTTCGCCCTTTGGCGGGGCGGAACGGGGCGGGGCTAAGTTTTGAAATACACTGGTTTTAGTGTGAGCATATAGCAGTCTGGATGCAAAATTTGGTGCCTCTAGATTCTATAGTCTCTGAGAACTAGCCGACAAACAAGACGGACAGAGGGACGGACGGACAGAAGGACAGACAGACATGGCTCTATCGACTCGTCTATTGATGCTGATCAAGAATATATATACTTTATGGGGTCGGAAACAATTCCTTCTGTGCTTTACATACAACCGTTAGTCGCACAAATACAACTACCCTATTTACTCCTCGAGTACCGGGTATAAAAATTCAACAAAACATTAACTCAAATCATATGACCGTAACGGTGAGACTCTGGGTTTCTCGGTGGTGGTCCGGAATGCCGGACGGAATGCTGCAAGCAGGGTTCAGTTTCAGTATTAAAATACGCATCACAAGTAGTAGTAGAATGCAAATGTTCGCAGTAGTATGCGTGTAGATCAGGGCTCGGCACGGTCCTATCTATTGTGCATAGGACAGGGCTCTGCCGCGGCGCTGCCGCTCACGTACACGCGTATTACAGTGACTCGTACCACTAACAATACATTGAAATTTTCCGTTTTGCATGCGCCTTCACACACACAAACGCAAAAACGGGTCGTTCATTGTATGGGTGCCAAGCCCATACAATGTAGCTCTTAACAATGTACCTCTTAACAATGTACCTAGCCTTGTGATTTGCGAAATTGTTAAATACACTTGTGCGTTACATATGTAAGTATGTATGTATGTTCATCCCCTTTCGAGCCCAAATACAATACACCGTATTTATAAAATTATTATAAATTACCATTAATTAATACTTGGAAAATGTATGTATGAACATGTACATACATACATATGTATGTATATGTTATTGAACCGCACTGTTACTCACCTGAGTGAGCAAGCGACTTCTAATTAATTGAAGTTGTCGTATCATTTCGGAGACCGTAGGATCCTTTTCATACGTGCCATCATCGCGGATGCAACCAGACGGCACAGATTGTTCCCTGAAACGATCGAAAACAAGGCTTAATAAGTATGCATTGGAAAATATGTACATATGTATATTAAAACCGATTTAAGCTCAATATTAATTTAACAATATAACAATTTAAACCAATTCAACTTTAACCAAGCTATATGGTTTCGTAAAAACACAAGGTTTTTCGCAACCAATATACAACATACACCATACATATATCGAACAAAAAACAAAATTTAGTATGATATGGTCCTAAAAAGAAACTACAATACAAAAGATATTTCTTCGTAAATGTTTCCTTTGGCATCAACATATTTTATCAGAAATTTTGTCAACATCAATCCTTATAACAGTTTCCAAGTGACAGACTTGCATGAATGCAATTTTGAATATTTCACCTCTGTACCCCCCCCCCCCCCCCCCCCCCCCCCCCCCCACCCCCCCCCCCCCCCACACTCCCCCTCCCCCCTACTC